TAACACACAGGTGTAGGGAATCTCACAGAGCTGGGCTGTTGGGTCAAGGTGGCATTCTGACATATCTCTATAAAATTGAACTGTCACCGTTGATCGTGATTCTGCCTCGAATGAACTGTCCTCTGGAGTCCCCTGAACCTTGGCCCTGCTCTCTGGTACCTCTCATCTCAAGCAGAGGACAGCATACACTTAAGCCTAGGCATGTCCACTGCAGGCATGGCTGAACCTTGGGTTTAGTCTGCACCAAGGGTCAGGAGGCGGAAGGTCTTTCCTAATGACTGCTTTTAATATTTTCCTTTGATATTCTCAGAGGGATCATCAGTGACATCAAGGTGATGATCGGCTAAGTCTTCATTTTCATGCTTATTAAAAGCCCTCTGAAGCCTTTCCAAGACACCAGCTAGGAAGCCTTTTTTCTCTCTGAGATATGCCATTTATTTTAGCCAAAGATAGAGTGAATATTATACATGATTTATTCACACCTCTCTTCTTTAAAGAGTCCCCCCAAACTTTTCAATCTCTTGTCAAATTCTGCCTAATATTTCTGCCTAAAAATAACATTTCCTTAAAAAACAATGCATCTATAATATAGAACATTTAGGGAAAAAAAGTTTTTATGTACTTTTTATTTATTTATTTTTGGGAGGCTGCAGATTGAACCCAGGTTGCTTTACCACAGAGCTACATCTCCAGCCCCTTTTATTTTTTCATGTTTAGATGGGGTCTCACAGAATTGTTGAGGCTGGCCTCCAACCTGAGATCCTCCTGCCTCAGCCTCCCAAGTAGTTGGAATTACAGGTATGCACCTTTGTGCCCAGGTTGAAAAATGTTTTTAAAAGAATGAATATAAATATAACCCTTACCTCATTACCCAACTATAGCTAACCCTTATCAACATTCCTGTTATTTTTATGTGTACTACACTACACATACACACACACACACACACACACACACACACACACACACGCTCTTTTGAAATAATCATAGGCTCATAGGAATTAGTACCCTAGAACGGGCTTCTCCCAGTGGGTAACAACTTATATAACTTAGTGCACTAAAACAATGTATGCATATGGGTATATGTACATGTACATACTTGTGCATTGCACATAAAGAGACTAGTTATCTTTTTAGTGTATCAGAGCACATATAGAAACTTAGAAACATCCTCTATTTTTTTTTCTACTTACCAATAAACATTGGTGGTTCAAGCACACAAATCTTTTATTCTTACACATGTTCCCTAGGCCAGTCTTACCCAAAGTATGAACACGTACTCATGGTAGAAGGTGACGCAGTTTCAGATGATACATGATTAAAGGTCAAGTAAGAATTCATAGTTATCTAGATTTTTAACTCTCTTCCATTTTTACCCACTGAATTCACGTTTTTTTGAATATGATAAAGTAGTCTTATAAAATGAACGTATGTAGACATAGAGAAAATGTAAAGGAAAAGTTCAAAGTATTGGAAGATAGAGGCTGTAGACGGATGTGGAAATAAGATGGCATTCAAATGGCCCAAGTGTGAGGCCTATGCCCCTCAGTGGTGTAGGTACTCCCTTTAGATCTGTGACTGTTTATATATTGCCAATTCTTTTTTGGGAGGGAGGGGATTCAACCAAAGGGTGCTTAACCACTGAGCCACATCTCCAAACCACCCCCACTTTTTTTTTTTTTGAGACA